AATTGCTCAACACCCACCACCCCCACCCTCACGCGGGGGTTAGGAGGCCATGACCCCTTTAATGTTGTCTGGGAGAGAAAGAGTTGTTTCCCCATATGAAGCACCCACTCAGGAAGAGTACCAAATGCAGTCTCTCCCTAGCAGGGAAGCTGTCCTTTCCAGAGGACAAAAGGACACCTTCCTGGTGGCTTGTGGGTTCAGCCTGTACTCTCTGCAAGTGTCCCGGGTTGGGGGAGGGAGGAAAGGAGCTCAGGGGAATCATGGGAATTCACCGGCCTGCGCCGTGGAGCTTCCTGGTCATAGTCTATGATTATCTATCTTCCAAGGTATGCTTTGGCTCAGATGACAAACGTATTTTTCCCAGCTTGTGTTAGTGTTACTGGTTTAATAGGACCTTTGAGGATGAGTTCCCAGCACTAGTTTGCTGGTGGAGAATAAAACCAGGATTACAGATCTGATCTGCTTCAGCTGGTTTCCCTCACGAATATTCTGGAATTGAAAGAAGCTGCTTCCCCACCTCATTTAGTAACACACTCTAGTGTTTCAAAATTTAATTTATACAGTGATTTTTATCTGAAGCTTGAATTTACAGTAGGAGGGATTTACTTCTTTAGCTGCCTTGGGTGAGGGAGCAGCAAGCAGTTACCTATACAAATTCCCTTCCTTGAGGTGTTCAGTGGACTTTGAGTCATCTAGTGCCCAGATCCAAATCCTTGCTCAGAGTAGCTTTTTTTTAAAAATGGTTTTCGAACAGACATTTTTATCTGTTAGTGCCCTCTGCTGGACTTCCTCCAAGTTCTTCTTGACTTGAGGCCCAAGAGCCCAGAGTGGACACCCAAGGGCCAGCCACCAAGGCCTTCACGAAAACGGAGTGGTTGGGGATGTGGCCCTTGACCTTCTGGCATATCCATGAAACCCTAGTCTGCTGGTTGCTTTTTTCATGACCTCAGAAGACTGGTGGATTCATTTAGGGAGCAGGACGAGCTGCCCAAGTGGCCTGCATCATTTAAAAAGGCTCATTTAAGAGAAGAGTTGAAAGAGTTGATGTGAGAGGGTGAGCCAAGCTCTCAATCTCTGGAAATTCTGCTCAGCAACACTATTTCATGGGGATCGAGTGGAGGAGTGGCTTGGGCGGCCATCTCTCTTATTTAAGACAGTTGAAAATCAGGTTCCAAAATGGGAGGAGAGGGGACCAAGGGAGGTCCTGTGCACCCTAGGGCTGTTGCCACCAGGGATTCCTGTGCAGTCCCTCTTGTTCTGTGTTCACCTTTCTGGCGTGTTCCCTGCACGCCCCCAACAGGAGTGTCTACCCCCTGCACCTCGTCTGTCCTGGGGTTGCTTCACCGCTGGGGCGGTAAATACTTGTGCCTTCTCTGGGCCTCCTTTATGTCCCTGTCTCCTAGCTCAGTGCCTGGTACGTGATAAGTGTTTGGTAAATGGAGCTACAATAGAATGTCTTTCCTTTTTTTTTTTTTTTTAAAGATTTTATTTGAAATAAAGAGTGAGTGAATGAGAGCGAGTGAGCGAGAGAGAGCGCGTGAGTGCTCATGAGCAGGGGCAGAGGGAGAAGCAGACTCCCCGCTCAGCAGGGAGGCCAATGCCGGCTGGATCCCAGAACCCTGGGATCATGACCTGAGCCGAAGGCCGGTGCTTAACCAACTGAGCCACCCAGGCACTCCTAGAATGTCTTTTCTTCTCAGTTCTGTCTGCCCTGAATCTCTCTGAATTTCAGGTGTCCACACTAAAAGCCTTGTTGTTGAGACAGTCTCTTATTCCTTCTCTTACCGGACCCGGTATTTTGTTTCTGGAACATTTAGTATTTCCTTCTATGAGTTCTGATTTTCTACCTTGTTTTTTTTTTTAATCAGAGAGAGTGAGTACAAGCAGGGGGAGCAGCAGGCAGAGGGAGAGGGAGAAGCAGGCTCCCTGCTAAGCAGGGAGCCTGATGTGGGACTTGATCCCAGGACCCTGGGATCATGACCTGAGCCGAAGGCAGACGCTTAACTGACTGAGCCACCCAGGCACCCCTGATTTTCTACTTTTAAATGTTAAGTACATTGACTCTTCCTTTCCAGATTGTAAACACAGGATTTACAGTCCTTCCCTGATTCATGTCTTTATGGTCCATGACCCACAAAACGATGCCTTACATATCATAAGAATAATAATAATAATGGCAATTACACACAGCAGCTCATAGGCGCCAGGCACTGTTCTGCATACTTCACATATGTTCATTCTTTAATCTTTGCAACAGCTTTATAAAGTAAGAACTATCATGAACATGTACCTCCCATTTTGTAGGTAAGGAAGATGATGTTAAATCATTTACTCAGGGTCAGGTACCTAGGGAGCAGAGGAGCTCAGATTCAATCCCAGACCGCATATTCCAGAGTCTAGACTTAATTGTTGCCTGATGCTGCCTCTTGTTGGCATATGTGCCCACAGAAAACATTACATAAATATTTGTCAAGTGCATGCAGGTTGATGTTTCTTGGTATTTAGAACCAACAAACCGTTTGAAGGTGATTTATTGGCTCTTTCATCTCTACCATCTGAACTGCTTCCTGAGCGATGGGAAGGCCAAAAGGGGGCACCAGAGGGTTGGGTCTAGTTTGGGTTTCGGAAGTGCTGGATGGCTTCGGTTCTGGTTTGGAAGTCAGCAGTGCCACCTAGTGGGACAGCTTGCTAATAGCAGCTCAGAATTATTTTTCTGAAACCCTGGTACATTGTCATTTAATTCTGGGAGCCCCTTGATTCACTTAACTTTAAGTTTTGATGGCCACAGAGAGGGTAGGGTGAGAAGGAGGAACCAGATGAAATGGAGTCAAGCCACGTCTATTCTTTGAAGAGGCTGTAATGCTGATCATGGTCCTCTGGGTTGGTTGAGTGCCATTGGCTGTTAGGTAAAAACACTAGGCTCCAGACCCCTTTCCCCTTCAGTTCGCCTCACGCATGCAGCCAGTGGTATAGACCGTAATGCTCACCAGGTCTGCTTTGGAATTTGAGCTCCAGTCAGCTGTGGGTGGCCTGCCCCTAGTACGACACGTATCCCAGGTTCTGTAGGAGACTTGGGGCCTGATGCATTATAACAAGTCAGTCCCAGTGTAAGAAATCCCGCGGGTCAACAACACCATAGCACAATTTTGTGAGAAGGAGGGTTTTTTTTTTGTTTTTTTTTTTAAAGATTTTATTTATTTATTTGAGACAGAATGAGAGAGAGAGAGCACATGAGAGGGGGTAGGGTCAGAGGGAGAAGCAGGCTCCCCGCCGAGCAGGGAGCCCGATGCGGGACTGGATCCTGGGACTCCAGGATCATGACCTGAGCCGAAGGCAGTCGCTTAACCAACTGAGCCACCCAGGCGCCCAGTGAGAAGGAGTTTTTAATAGGCAAGTCTTTGAGACCTCGCGAAGCAGGGGGCGGGGGGGGGGGGGGGGGATAGGGGGAGGAGCCGCTCCACGGGGGACAAGAAGCAAAAAAAGTGCTCCGCATAGAGTAAAGGAAAGAGAAAGGACCTGTGTACACACTTTGGTTCTGCCAGGCAACTGGAGACTGGCTGTGTTGGGTGCTCTTCTGATTTCCCGTGTGTGTATGTGTTTGAAGATTTGATACAAATTGCTTCTAAGTTCATTTATTTCTTTGTGAAAGAACAGAGCCTAAGAGCATGGTTGTAACTGTGGACCACAAAAAGTCAAGGGCCGCTTTGGGGGAGAGCCTACAGGCACGGGAGCAAGCTCTTATCCTACCAGATGGTGTAGAGTTTCAGCCTACCTGGGGTCTCGTCTGAGGAATACACTCTGTGGAGATCAGTGAATTCTTTTGTGCTGAACAATCCATCAGAACAAGGAAACAACTGGGTTATACTGGAGCCTGGGTTATAGTGACATTTAGGGTAATAGGAATTTATGATTAATAGACTCTGCAAAGCAGGGGTTGCTAACTTTTTCTGTAAGGGGCCAGATAAATAAATATTTGAGGCTTTGCTTCTTCATCTCTGCCTTAACTATTGGTTCTGCCGTTGCAGAGACAGGGCTGCCACGGATAATATGTAAATGAGCGGGTATGGCCGTGTTCCAATAAAACTTTATTCATGACTCTGAAGTTTGAATTTCATACACTTCTCATGTGTCATGAGATGTTATTCTTGTTTCGACTCCCCCCCCCCGCCCCCGCCACCACGCCCAACCATTTCAAAAAGCAAACGGTATTCTCAAAGGGCTGTACAAAGAAACAATGGGCAGCTTTAGATTTGGCCTGGTAGGGAGGGGGGGCGGCTAGAGTTTATTGACTTCTGATCAGATGGTTGGATTAGTTAATGAATAACAGTAAAAATGATATGTTCATATGCTCAGTTAGCGTCATAAGGTACCTGAGCAAAAAGCTTTTCTTCCTCTCAAGTAAGATGAAAGAGGGGTGAATTCCACATAACTTCCATGAAAGCATTTTAAAGAGCAGAGCTCTGTGAACTGAAGGCCTAGAATCAGCTTGCCTGCAGGGCATTCAGGAGTGGAGGGACTTACCCTCTTATCCCTCCTTCATCCTCACCCTCCTCTGCCTTCCCGGGAGGCAGAGAAGCAGGCCAGGTGACCTCTGCCCCCATCAAGCCTTTTCCCTGCTGGAATTCTCCCCTCCCTCCCAGTCTACCTGCCTCTTGAGAGTCTCCAGGGAGGTTGAAGAAGAATGGGATTGTTATCCTGCCCTACAGTTTAAGAGGCCCGAGTATAGAAAGTGCTGGAGGCGTTCGCTCACTGAGACTTTGTAGGCAAGGAAGAATCAGGCAACAGGTCAAGATCTCCCTCCTGTGCCTCAGATGTGATGGGTGGAGTTTGCACCAAATTTGTGTCATTTCTCATGTCCCCTGCCTGTCAATACACCCTGTATAAAGTCACACGGGGGAACTTGTATCTTTGAAATTTTGTAACCCGGTTTCTTTGTCTCGATGACCTCCCCTGGTGTTGAGAAAGAAGGTAACGGTTCACATCCTGTGTCTTGTCTTCAGTAGCCAACAGAGCAGCCACGACGATGATTCAAGCAGGTTCCTGAGTCCTCGAGCGCGGGAAGAAAGGTAAGGCCAAGTGAGGAGGGAGGGGATGGGGAGAAATGTGTGGCTACGACCGCCCTTCTAGCACCAGTGGGGGGAGAACTGTGGGCGAGAGGAGGGAGGCAGCAGGCTGCTGCAGGAGCTTGTGCTCAGACTGGCCAGAAAGACAGAATGTTCACCCAGGAAATGAGAGGACTGCGTCTAAGGGCTTCTGGTGTTGGGCAAGAAGCAGAGTCGGTCTGTGGCAAACCAGAGACCCTGGGAAACCCCGAGAGCGGGCGTGGTTCGAGGCACATCTTGGCGGCTGCGTGCGGAGCGGACGGTGCCCAAGGAGAGCTGCGGGGGTTGGCACCGCGTGTGTGACAGTGGATGACAGCGGAGTGCCAGGACAGGAGCGGACTGCAGGTGCCAGAGGTGAATGAGGGTGGACAGGTAGGGGGCAACGAGCATGAAGAGGCTCCAAAGTGCTCGCTGGAGGATTCGAGGGGCAACTAGTGCAACACTCAGGATGTGGGGAGTAGCCTCTGCTCTGTGGAGTGCCTGCCTGCGATCGCCGGAGGGGTGGTCGTGGCAGGCGAGAGGTCGGTGCCCGTGGAAGCTGACTGGGCTGATGTTAACGAAGAGGAGGTCTCCGTCGGCATGCCACAGGGCTCTGCTCTTGGTCTAGCTCTGTCTACTGCTATTGTCAACACACTGGATGAGGAAGGTGAAGGTACTTTTACATCATTTATCTTATTGCAGACACTCAGCTGAGGGGGAATAGGGAAGACTGAGGTTGACAGACTCGGGACTGAGTATTTCAGATGGAACAGTGGGTGCAAACGACAAATTTTTTTAAAGGAAAGGTGCTATTATATTTATATTATGTACTTATAAATCTATATTAGAATAGGGTTTTTTTAAGATTGTATTTATTTATTAGAGAGCGAGCACAAAAGCAGGGGGAGCAGGAGAGGGAGAAGCAGGCTCCCCGCTGAGCAAGGAGCTGGATGCGGGGCTCGATCCCAGCACTCTGGGATCATGACCTGAGCTGAAGGCAGACGCTTAACCAACTGCGCCCCCCAGGCGCCCCCCAGAATAGTTTCTTAAATGTAGGATTACCACAGGGAGCCTACCTTGATGGGATTTCGTGTGGAAAAGAACTTGGGGGTTTTCTTTACCAGCAAAATACGAGCCAGTAATATGACAGCCCAAATGATCTTTGAAAGTCTGAATTTGGGGCGCCTGGGTGGCTCAGTCGTTGGGCATCTGCCTTTGACTCGGGTCGTGATCCCAGGGTCCTGGGATCGAGCCCTGCGTCGGGCTCCCTGCTCGGCAGGGAGCCTTCTTCTCCCTCTCCCACTTCCCCTGCCTGTGTTGCGGCTCTGGCTGTTTCTGTCAGATAAATAAATAAAATCTTTAAAAAAAAAAAAGTCTGAATTCGCTCTTTAAAAAGAGACAAAGATCTCACTGGTCTGTAGTACTTTGACCATACATGGTGTATCATGTCCAGTTCTTTGGAAATAGATATTGATAAATTAAGACTCCAGAAAGAATGGTTGAGAAAGTGGCTTAATTTGGGAAAGAGAAGGTTTGTGGTGACTAACACCACTCTTCAAGTATCTGAAAGCCTAAGAAACAGCTAGAGGCAGAGAGGTCCTAGGGGGAAGGATTTCAGCTCAGGATAAGGAAGAACTCTGATTACAGCAGAGGCCTTGCTAAATAACAAACTATCCCCTCTGTGAAGTGTTCAAGCAAAAGCTAGATGGTGTGTCATAAGGGGATTCCCTCCTGGGCAAGAGCGTGGGGCCTCGGGAATCCTTGTACAGATCTCTCTACATTATAAAGTTGTGTAGTTCTGCCCCAGTTCTCAAGTATCAGTTCAGCTCATCAATTCAAACAGAGAAGATAGGAGGCAAAGGGCCCCCGGGGCAAAGACTGATCATTCTTGTCGAGTTGCTTAATCAGTTAGGATCTGATGGCAGTTCCGTCTGTCTCTTGAGTGGCCTACACTCCCTTTTCAGTGCTTTCTGGAATTCATCCACCATACTCGCAAAATTAGAAGGGGCTCTGGAATTCCTTTGGTACGACCGCCTTCCATGTGCTTGGGCATCAGACATCTGCCAGAGCGTCCTGTCCATTTCTGGTCATAATGTCTTCAGTTGGTCATTGTCTATCAGCTCTCCGACTAGCAGCTCCGACTAGCAGCTCCTCAACTCTCAGCTGCTTGGGGGCATTCCTAGGAGTGAGGGAATAGGTGGTGAGTTGTAGGCTCTATGTTTTTCCCAAGGCAACTTCAGTCAGTTCTGCCTCTAGGACAGGACTGCTTGACAACTAGAGAGAGCCCTGCCTTTTGTTTGCTCTTTGGGATTGTGTGTTGTCATAAGCTCTATTCTAGCTCCTTCTCTGCCCACTTCCTCAACCAAATGAAATGTTACAAAAGGTCTGCAGTCCAAACCTCTGCCCAGAAAAGTCCTCTAGATGTCTCCCCTGGTCCTTCCCATCCCTGGCCCCCTGGCAGCCCCCTAACTCTTCATGGTGGACAGTGGATATAATTTTGCATCAGCTCACCTTGGGCAGTACGGGAAACAAAGCTCTGATCAGAAGTATGCTTCCCGTGGTGGTTCCTACGGACCCCACGCCTCAGAAACTCAGGACTGGTACATGTTCACCATGGCCATTCTGAATGAAATCTTTTTTCTTTTCCACATCCAGTTGTTTCTCCTGGAGAGAACAGGTCCCCAGAGTGCTAATTAATCACCAGCCTCAGTTCAGAGCAAACCCTTACACTCTGCCCCTAATCCTTCCTCTAATATATTTTTACCCAATTAAGAGACTCTCTGGGGCATTTTGGATGTTGGTCTGTGTTCTCCTGGCCTGGGGCAAGTGTGAGATCCAAACCCTGGGGAGATTGTCAGCAGTGGTGGGGGTTGGGCTCCCGCTCCTTGTTCTGGGCCCCCATTTGATGGACAGCGTGCCCTGCTGGTTATGGTGGCATTTCTGGTGGAGGCGAGGCCCTGTGTGATCTCATTTAGTCTCGCAACTCCCCTGGGAGGCCTCGAGCCAGGTATTATGGATTGAAAATGGTCAAGTAGGGGGTAGGTAACATGGACCCGTTTCTGTGGTTGCTCCTAATTCTCCAAACCACATGGTCAACTATAGGGTGAAGGACGGTTTCATAGAGCAGGCAGAAAAAAAAAAAAAAATGAACATCGATTTCTCCTGTTTTAAAGATAAAAATTCTGATCCTTCATTATGACGTACACTTTCAACTGGTTAAGTAGAACACCGATTTTTCTTTTTCTTGTACAAGGTTCAGAATAGATAGAATATTTAGAGACAAACTAGCGCCCTATTGTAGTTTAACAAATGTCCACATGATAGATAGCAAAGGGAGAGATGCCTCAGTATGGCATCCAAACCTAAGGGCTTCTGACAGTTTTCCTCCTCATTCACGTCGATGTTTATTCCTGAAGGAGAAAGCCTTTGGGACCATAATAGGGGCAGGCGGTGGGTGGATAGATGGGTGCAGGGAGGCAATCATTTCCTGGGCAGGCATGCATCAAGAAGAGTTGATTTCAGGAGGAGGATCAGAAATGAGGACTGTCTCTGAGTTAGGAATAATCCCCTCAGGTTTCCAGTAGAAAGCAGAATAGACCCACCTTCCCCAAAGTCTGTGTGTGTGTGTGTGCGCGTGCCTGCGTATCATTGAATATGGGACATAAATCTATTTTCATGCTTCTAGGTAAAGCCAGGGATATGCTTAAAAGACACTGGCTCCCAGGTTCAGCCCAAACTGGACCAATTGTCAGGGTTTCTCACGTTGCCAGATCTTTATTTAGTACCTTCGCGAGATGGCAGGAACTATCAAAGCCAGAGCTGTAGAAAAAGGAGCTGTTTCACTGAGGATGGTTTATGTACACAGTGTTAGTTTCAACAGAACTTGGTCCCGGTTGACCAGGAAGCCTTTCAGTAGTAGGAGGATTGAGACCCGGGCAGGGCTGGGATGTAACCAGGCCCCAAGGCCGGGCTGCCTGTGTTCACGTATCCGTTCCCGCATGCAGGTATGTGTGCCCCAAACCTTTGTTAAGTGTCTGCAAGATACTGGGGAGCCTGCTGGAGTCCAGGCTGCAAGATGTGTAGAGGCTCAGGGTGCCTGGGTGGCCCAGTCCGTTGAGCATTTGACTCTTGGTTTCAGCTCAGGTCATGATCTCAGGGACATGAGATCGAGCCCTGTGTTGGGCTCCATGCTCAATGGGGAGTCTGCTTCTCTCCCCCTCTCTCCCCCAGCTCGTGTGCACACATGTGCACTCTCTCTCTTTCTCTAAACTAAATAAATAAATCTTTTAAGAAAATAGAATAAAAAGATGTATAGAGGCTCACTGCTGGTGGGCGCCCTGGTGTACTAGAAAGAGTGAAATCCTTGAAGTCAAAACAGACTTAGGATGGACTCCCTTCTTCCTTATTAACTGCATCTTTAAAGACAATTTACTCACCTTTACTCAACCTCAGTTGACTCATCTGTAAAAGTCTTTCCTTGAGTGGAATAAATGAGATAGTCCAATGTGTAAAGTGCCCCGTTCTTAGTAGGTGCCTAGTAAGTGGTAGCTGCTATGATGATGTCATTAGATTTTACTCTTTCTTAACGGATCTATACTCTGCTGTCCTTGAAGAAGCCGAGACAGAACGTGTAGAGTATTGATTGCCTGTAAAATGTCAGATGTGGACACTAAGGATAAACAGATGAAGGCATAGGATTTCCCCTTGAGCATCTTACTGTCTCCTGGTGAGACATACCTATAAGTAAGCAAGTATAATAGAATGTGATAACGGACATGGAATTTCGTATAAAGTAATAAAACTAAAGAATTTGGTCACTAAGGTGCCTAACCCTGTACGATGAATCTTGCACACACGCTTTGAAATGTAATCCTGTCAACAACCCTGTCAAATAGGTGCTATTATTATCTTTATGTTAGAGTGTGGGAAACAGAGGTTCCGCAGAGTTACCAGATTTGTCCCAAAGTAGCACAGCTACTGTGCTT